CCGGAGAATAAAAGCTGTTTTTCTTCTTCTGAAAGCTTGGTGACATCTGAAATCCGAAACGCTGAAATTTGCTGTCAAAACGGAATACTTTGGGTAAGTATTATTATCATTATTACTATTATTATTATTATTATTATTACAGCTTCTTATTATGAGCTTCTGGGTCATGGAGAAATAGCTTCATTTCCTTGTAGATGTGCGTCGGACAGGTTGAGCTTCCCAGTCTCTCAGCGTTAAGCAGCCGTGTTGCACTCCAGAGTGTGTACGGTGTGTGTGAAGCGTGGAGCTGCAGGGACCAGCCCCACGGCCGTGCCGTCGCACAGGTGGTGCAGAGGGGACGCTTCGTCTGCCGGGTCCCTGGTCTGTGCGTAATCGGCGCGTCTCTGTCTGTGTCAGGGAAATAAGGAAAGGACGCAATCTGTGCGTATTTTTTATTTTTATTTTTTATCACTGGTGTTGAGAGAGAGCGCAGGGGGTTTATGTTATAGCTCATAAATGCTGGTTGCGTTGCGTGTGTGTGTGTGTCGCAGGTTTGTTTCTGTGGATGAAATTACGCACGCTGCGAAAAATAATTATACATATTTGGATTGGAAAGTAGGCTATATATGATTTCTACTGGAACTGGACGCTGTTTGAGAATATTTTCTTCTTTTCAATGAAAATCTCGATCTCGATATAAAGAATTTGATCAAAATCAAAAGTCATTCTGATCAACGTGACTCTCCTCGTTCTGTCCAGTTTTAAAATATTGACACTTTGATTTCCAGAAAATTCCTAGAATTAGTGAAAACGTCAAAGTCAGAGGCACAATTTAAAAAATAAAAAAAAATGAAGGGTTTTTGAATAATGAAATTACGCACGTCCATCAGTCCGTCACTGTGCGCTGGAGATGCCCATTAGATGCGTCTGAGATGAGTTTGGTTTCCATTGATCATTAATCAAACGTTTCCACGTTTAATTTCACTCTCAAAAAGTAAAATATTGACTTTATTCGCCATCCTACTCTCGTTAGGACGAACACGCCTTTTCTCCTCACTGCAACAGTGACGTCTTCTTTGGTTCGCAGCACAAACATGAATTACACATCAGCCTCTTTCACAGAGCCGCACTCCCTAATGCCTCTGATCATCTCTGAAGTTTCTCCAGAAAGCAGCAGATTTTTTCCCCCCCTCCTCTCTTTGAATGAACGAACTGTGCGGTTCTCTCCCCTCAGCAGCAGATCAGTCAGCCCCTCTTCAAACACATGCGCTTCAATGGGATTCAGATGGTGATTTTGGCCACTCAGCTCCAGCTTTGACTTGCACCATGACAAGTCATCACCGGAGAAAATTACCGGATTATAGCATCCTACAAGAGAGAGGGGGGTGCTGAAATGAGATTTGGGAGTTGTATTGCATTAGCCTATTAAATTTCGGAGCCATAAAACAAGCGTGCGGGTGATAATAGTTGGCCTAATGCTGCAAATTAATTGTATCTATTGACCCGAGAAATAACGCATGCCAGTTTGCAGCGTTTTCAATCAGAGGCGAGCCTCAGACACATTTCGGTTCCAAATGAGACTCTGATTGCCTCTTTTCATTACCGAAATTGGCCTGAGACCATCGCTCTGCGTGGAGGTTTTGTGCCTTTTTTTCCTCCTCCCCTCTTTCAGACAGAGGAGGACGGTGCATTAATTGGCTCCAACTTGTCTAATTTGAGAAGAAAAGCTGATCTCTGTCGCACAAACATTCAGTCACTGTCATGCTCCAGTGAGAAAATCCTTATGTCGTGCAGCAGTGACCTTACCTGGCCTCTGTGGTGGTTTTGCTGTAGGACAGAATATGTCTCTGATTCTCAGTTATCAACTTTATTGGGCTTTAGTCTGAGTGTATTTGATTCTTTACTGAGCCTGTAACATTCAAAATAAAGTGACCTTACAGTGACCTTATAGCACCTAATGGTATTTTATGTTTCCCATTACTTGAGTTTATATAAACCTTGTTAAGCTTTATAACACTTACATTTCCCATGATGTTTGCTGATACAGTCTCAAAGAGAGTTATCTGTGTCTGAAGCACTTGGTGTTTGAATCATCAGTTTGTATTCAGTGGTTTCTCATATATTCCCCAAGTGTCCTTCTCTGTCCTCTGTCTGATGCTGAGGACAAATGTGCGGACAGGTGTCGTCGTCTTTTTACACGTGCATCATAAGACACACGACAACACGTCTTCCACCGTCCGTCCTGAGTGTCAGCCGGAGGTGAGCCGAGTGCACAGCCTGCGGCGCATTCACACCTGGAGTCACGCTGCACCTCTGACAGCTTTAAAGTGCGCAGCTCTCTCTCTCTCTCTCTCTCTCTCTCTCTCTCTCTCTCTCTCTCTCTGTGTCTCACTGCCTCTCAGCTGATCAATATCTCTTCTCACCTGAGGGTGCTGTTGGAGTGTGTGCTGTGGAGAGAGGAGAGGGTGGTGGAGGAGCGATAACGGCAGCAGAGGAGTGTGGTGAGGGGACATGAGGGAGAGCCGCAGAGATACAAGAACAAAAGCTGAAAGGAAAAGAAGAAAAAGTGTAGATGATATGGAAGACTACCCTCTTGTGTTTCCGCCCGGCTGCTGTTTGCACTTGTACCCCCCCCCCCCCCAAAAAAAAAAAAAAAAACCTCTAATCCCCTTTTCCCAAAATGACAGAGTCGATCTGGCCTCGGCTGTTGATTCTCTGGCTTAATTATTAAAGATTACTGATACTCCGGAGAGGTGTGACGAGCATGTGACCGCCTCGCATTGATCCTCACAGAGAGGGAGAGGGATGACAGGGATTTGAACCCCGGTTAAAGCACTTCTCTGCCTCCGAGCTATTACAATGTGGAGATAGTTCTGCATGATTAATATTCATGCATTATTCACAGCAGTGGCTGTGTTTCCCTTTTGATGCTTTAAGAAAATATTAGCATGAAAACACTTTGGAGGCTTTGAACTCCACGCTGGGTCTTTGGGATCCATACCGCCTCCTCCTCCTCTTCTTCTTCTTCTTCTTCTTCTTCTGGAGGTTGTTAACTGAAATCAAAGTGTTTTTAGTTGGTGTGAAGAGTTCGTTCTCAGCGTCCACTTTGCTGTGAAATATTTCATAGAACAGAGGCTGTGAGGTTACCGTACGTTACCGTCTGCTCTCACACTGACTGCAGTTAGTTTCAGTTTCACACTGTCAATCATGCTGCAATGCACGGCTGCTCCTCAAACTCAAGGATTCACTTTGCACATGAGGTTGTTTAAACTAATACCTGTCACCAAATTAGTCAATGCAAAAGCCTGTGTTGTTTTCCAATGTGTTCACACATGGCTCAAGAGGCTGTCATGCTGCCTGTCTAAACACATCTGCAGCACCATGACATGAACCAACTCTGCAGCTTTGTCAGCTCTCAAAGTGAAGTGCCCATAAAAAGCTGAGATTTTCTTTATATGCATGTGTGTGTGTGTGTGTAGGTGTGTGTGTGTGCACGCCTGCCAGAGAAAACAAAAGTTTTCAAATCAGAGAGGGAAGTGCAATCAGCTACCTCCGCGCCCCGGAGAGCGAAGGCCTTATCGTGCTGTATAAACAAACGGCAGCAGCGTGTAGGCGTCCTGTGTTGTAAGAAGGTGAGGATGGGCTGAGAGAGGAGGAGGAGGAGAAGATGAAGAAGAGCTCTCCGGAGAGCACAGAGAAGACATTAAAGGCTGCGGTATATGTTGAAGCATGAAAGGTGTGGTGGCAGTGTTTAGATTAGGACAGTGTGTGTGTTTTTGTGTGTGTGTGTGTGTGTGTGTTTCTGTGCTGCTTTATCTATTCATGTGAGTTCTGTGAAGTTTTCCCAGTTGGTGTTTTGTGCGATAATGTGCAAACAGAGCCTCGCTCAGCCGGCCCGGGCTCCACTTTGTGCTGAGCAAGGAGTGGGTCACAGGTCCTCAGAGGGAAAGAAAAACAGTACTGTTAAGACTTAAGACAACACAACCTTTCTGTGGACTGTGTGTTCGTACAATACACCTCTGTGTGCGCAAGCAAAGCCCACTCTCAAATGTGTGTGTGTGTGTTATTGTCGGGGTGGACGTCTCACAGACAAAGCTATTCTGAAGCTGGACAGAGCCGCTAAAGTTTAAGCTAGTGGTAATGTGTGTGTGTGTGTGTGTGTGTGTGTGTGGAGGAGAGAGAAAGGGGGGGGGGGTTGTGCTTTGCTTTTCTGGGCACCTCTCTCAGAGCTTTCTCTTCGAACCTCGGTGCATTCCAGCTTCTCCCTGCTTAAGCAAACAGAGAGCAGAGCGCTCCGCCGTCGCTCGCCGTGGCCGCCACTCTCCTCCCTCCTCCCTCCTCCCTCCCTCCTGCGAGCCTCCGGGCACGTTGGGCAACTGATACTGTAGATTTCGGCATTCCTCATCCTGCAGCAGGATTAGTGAATCCGTGTCAATCGCTTGCTAAACCATGCAGAAGGGTTTCTCAAGCAGAAAAAGAGTCCTGTGGAAGGAGCGACGAGGCCGTCTGAGGTGTTGTGATTTCTCTCTCCGCTCAGATAATCCTGCTGCTGCAGAGTTAAGTGATTGGTTAATGAACTTGTCTTCCAGGCCGGGGGTACGGCACAGACGGTTTTATGTGCCGTTCCAATATCAGAGCTCCTCTCCAGCCATCTTAACGATCAGGTGCTCCCAGAAAGTTTCTGAGAAAAACTGCGAAGAGGGATTTCCACCCTAATCCTTGAAATCTGTGAGGAATGTCAGGTCAGAATATGGCAGCATTTGTGCAGACCCCAAGGCGCTTCTTTCTTGCTGTGTTCTTACTTCTTCCTTTCTGATTGCACGTTCTCCCACAGCCAGAATAACATCCAGACATCTCTCTCTCTCTCTCTCTCTCTCTTTCTCTCTCTCTATCGCTCCGATCGATTCCCTCCTCATGTTTTTTGTATTTGTTTTGTTTTTCAGGTCAGCGGCAGGGAGTCTTTGGATAGTTTCTTGCGGCGTCAGAGGCCGCCGTTCTGCCGGACAGCATGCGAACGGAGGATGTTGTCTGAGTCGGGCCTCGCTGCTCTGTGTCTCACCTCGTCGTCCAGAGGGATGACGGCTCTGTGGTGCTCACTCTGGATTTCCTTCCTCCTGCCTCTCTGCGTCGCTCCGGCCCGGCTGCCCACCGCTCAGCCCACAGGTAGGACGCGACGCCGAGCCCCTCGCATACGTGTGCTGCATCACATCCTGCTGAAACAACACAGCACACACAGAGAAGATACAGTTTAGAAATGTCTGATCAGCTACCTGTGTCTTACACACTCTGTAGGACATTCAGAGTAGAAAATGTCCTTGAAGGCATCATAGATTTTGAGCAATGAAAGGGTTTTCTTTCTAAGTGGATGTATTTACACGTGAATATGAATTAAAAGGTAACTAAGCGACAATTTGAACTTTCTCATTGATCATATTACTAATGTGTTTAGTTGTTCTGGTTGAGCTAATGTGTGGATGTGACCACTGACTCCTGTGGGCCACCGTACGTATGTTTCAGCTCCCTGTTACAGAGAATAAGCTTTTATTGATTAGAGAACAAACGGCACATAAAAATCTGAGTAGAAAATGTCCTTGAAGGCATCGTGGGTTTTTTGAGCAATGAAAGGCTTTTCTTTCAAATTCCATAGAAAAATACAACACATGGAGAAACAGGAAGGATCAAACAGCTGATTGAGCGCAGGATCCTAATTGGTTCTTTAGTGGTGAAATCGTTAGTTGATGAATTGATTAGTCAGTGATTTTGTCACTTATCAAGCAAAAATGCCAAATATTGGCGGTTCCAACTCTTTCCGATATCAGTGTGAGTCGAACGTTCGTCGGTCGGAACAAAACAAAACTTGAAGCAGCAGCACAACAACAAAACACCAGCTCAGGGAAATAAAACCTCCTCGGGTTGGCTTCACACTCAGTTCTGAACCAGGCGCTCGTGAAGACGCTCGTCCAACAACGAGAGAGACGATGTTTTCAGCTCATCATCCACGTTCGCTTCTCCTCCTCCGTTGCTCCTTGCTTCATTTTCCATACTAATATGACATCTGCTTAGAACCAGCTTCCTGTGCGTTCATCACTTCAAATAGGGGCATTTCAAAAGGAACATTTATTGTTTATGAGAAAGTGGTGGAGTCTTTTTTTTTTACGAGGATTTAATTGGACTCTTCTTGGTTCGCTGAGCTTAGCGCGATTTTCCCTCTTTGTTCTCGAGGCAGAGAAATACCCAAAGATCAATCCAAAGTAAACGTCGACTGTGTTTTCTTTAATCTGTCCATATTGTGCAAAAAAAAAAACTAACACAGCAGAGTAATCTTTTTCTGAGGCGTTAGCCAAGTGTTGTTTTCTTTTCCTCCTCCCTCCCTTTTTGGTTTTTCTTTTAATGTGAGTTGTTTAAAATGAGTCTTTGACACACTTTACATGCTACAGTGCATTAAGAAAGACGAGGAGCTGGGCACGTTCTGGAGACGACCCAGCTGTCTTATACAAGCTGAGATGCCCTGTGTGTGTGTGTGTGTGTGTGTGTGTGTGTGTGTGTGTGTGTGTGTGTGTGGGTGGGTGTGTGTGCACATGCAAGAACATGGGCGTACAGTTTTTATTAACTTATACATGTGTGTGTGTGTGTGTGTGTGTGTGTCCATATAGCTGAGGTCCGACCACAGTTGTAGACTCAAGACTTGACACACAGACTTAAAATGGGAAAAACGAAGACTTGAAACTTCACTTACTTTAGACTGAACTACCTGAGGACTTGATTTGACTTGAGATGTGAAAACGAAAATTGAAAATTGTTCCATGTTTCAAGTTTGTACTTGGAAAGCTCCTGGAACAGTAAGACACAGACCTTGTATGTCACAGTTTTGGGTTTGTGCAGTGTGATGTGCCACAGCTCTGCGTCGGGACGATCCCGCCTGTGTCCTGCCGACTCTCCGTAGCCAAGAAAATCCCCCAGTTCTCGTCTTTCTGCCCCCCCCCCTGCCCTCTCTCATGTAAAACCCCACTGTTACAACAGACATGTTGTGATTCTTTGCGCCTGATTGCCTTCCCTGCTGGGAGCCATCACAGCCCATCATGCTTGGCATCCTCCAAAAAGCAGAGGGTGTTTTTTTTTGTTTGTTTTTTCTAAGCCCCCCCCCCCCCCCGGTGGCTGGTGTTCAGGCTGTGATCTCCATGTACCTTCACGTTACGCAGACGTGCACAAATACAGCCGCTCTGAAGAGGATATTGTTTCAAGGTGCTGATGTTTGTCATGTTCGGGGGGGGGGGGGGGGGTGATTCATCTGATGTGAAGTGGATGACGATCAGGTGAGAACATGCAACATGTGCAGCCACGTTTCCATCGAGAATGGTTGGAGTGTGATGCTGAAAATCTCATTTGAACTGGAGGTTAGATTTACTTCTCAGTCAGTGTCGTCGAAGTTTAATGACCACAGCCTGGAAAACCTGCATCTCCACACTTTGTTAGTAAGGAAAGCAGACACTTCTATCTGTTTTAAATAGAAGAAAACAATCTCATTATGGTCTAAATGTGGTTTCAGAAGTTTGTTTGATCCTGACAAGAATACAAATCTGAGAAAAAATACTCTCGTTTTTTGTATTTCTTGGCATAAAAGTGCAGTTATATGTTGAGTTTGTCCTTTAGTCAGAGGAGCAAAGCTGATAAATGAAGTCACTGTGCTCTGAGCTCTTCACTAACATACAGTCTTGTGGTTTGTTGGAGGTTTGCATCCCCTCTTCATTTGGGCTAATGATTCAGCACATGACATCACCACCTCAGAGGTCAAAGGTTGAATCCCGCTAGGAGCTTCTCTTCTCTACAAACATCCCATGTTTCACATGCGAGTAGAAATACTCTGGAAAAGCGGTCGAAGTAAACCGCAATGCAAAGATTCGGAACAACTGGAAACTTTTATACCGTCATGTCTTCAGGTAACTTGACGGATGGATACAGACTGAACGTCTCACACTGACTGCCCTGCAGCTAAAGGTCACAATATATTGCTTTCTCATGTTGAGCTGATGATTTACTGCCTCTGATAATCTGTGGACTGATTTTTGAAATACCTGAAATATTTCATTTTTAAAGGAAGGCAGAAAGAGGAGGTTATCAGAACACAGAACACATCCCTGACGGTTACTTACCTCCCAGACTTTTAACTCTCAGGTTCTACATTATCCTCATTTATCCGCCAATAGTGAAACTCTTGCATTTGTCCTCATGATGGGGTGATAAAGAAAGCTGTGAACATACAGCGGCCGTCAGCGCCTGGTGGTCATCTCCGGCCTGCGTCCTGTCTCTGCCGTCTCCCCCGCGGCCCCCTGGCCTCCAGCAGACTTCCCCACGTCCACAGATGGACGAGCAGTAGGGATAAAATGACGGTCGTTTACTGGCAGATGGCTCGATTTCCCCTCAGCCGCCACAGCACTGAGCTGCAAAGTTGTCACTTAGGTCTGTGTTTCTGTGTTTTGTGTGTGTGTGTGTGTGTGTGTGTGTGTGGCTGCTTGGGGGGTGCATGCAGATTAATGTTTGTGTGTCAGGGTCAGAAATTAGCAGGTGCCGAGGACAAAAATGCCCTTGAAAGTTTAGAGCAGGCATGTAAACATAAATTGAAAGGTAATGAAGCGACAATTTGGACTGCTCCATTAATCATATTACTAAAGTGTTCAGTTGTTTTTGTTGAGCTGCTTTAGATTAATGTGTGGATGTGGCCACTGACCCCTGTGGGCCACCGTAGGTATGTTTTTACCAGGGGTAAAAATTGTTTCCTGATACAGAAAATAAGCTTTTATTGATTAGAAAACAACTTCACGTGCTTGATAAGCTGTTTAAGTGATGGTACAAACTTTTCTTAAATATATATTTAAAAAAAAATTGTGGTTCAGATAGAGATTTCCCAGAGTGCCTTGCAAACAGATCATTTTATACTTTTTAAAAAGCCCCTTTAGAAGTAACAGGCTCTCTGGAATAACTCTTCAACTCATTCTCTGGACTGTATTTATTCCTGTGTGAGGTAAGGAGACACTGTGGTTTGTGTGTGTGTGTGCGCGAGTGTGTGAAGTGTAATTCCTTGTTTCCATTAAGTCCACCAAAATGTTGTTTCAGAGCGAGGCGTTGTTTATTTCTCCAAAGGCTGGTGGCGTTTCCAAATGTCCTGAAGAAAAGAAACGTTTGAGACGCCAAGTTTGACCGATGTGAGAGAGACTGATGACAAAGAGCAGAGACTGTGTGTGTACGTGTGTGTGTACATGTGTATGTGTGTACGTGCGTGTACGTGTGTGTGTGTATGTGTGTGTTTATTCTTTCATCGCCCGCGGATAGTTACTGACCATAAACCCCACCCACCACCCAGCCCCACCCCCCCACACCGATGCCCCCGCGGAGCTCGGATGAAATATTTGGCTCCTCAGCTCTGACGTTGTCTGTGTAGTGGCAGACATATAAATTCAACACATTCAGTTTTGCCATTGCGTGTGTGTGTGTGTGTGTGTGTGTGTGTGTGTGTGTGTGTCTCACAGAGCAGGCCTACGTGGAGTCTGCACTTAAGTGAATGTTATGTCTGTATGAGCAGAGGCGGATTATGAAAGGGAGGCAATAAAAGAAGATGAAAAGAGAGAAAGATAGAAATTAAAGGATAGCTGTGTGTGTGTGTGTGTGTGTGTTACAGAGGGGGAGCATGGGTGTGTGTGGTCAGTAAGCTCTTAACCATAGAAGAAAGCAAAAATGTATGTCATCTTTAGAAAAAGAAAACGACTGTGTGTGTGTGTGTGTGTGTGTGTGTGTGTGTGTGTGTGTGTGTGTGTGTGTGTGTGTGTGTGTGTGTGTGTGTGTGTGTGTGTGTGTGTGTGGTTGGGTGTCTGTGTGAGGTCACTGACCCCCTGCCTCCCCTCCTGGCAAGGACTGTAAATTTCAGCAGGGGTTGTTTGGATCGTTAGGACACTCGTTAAAACCACGCCATCCACAGATTTACACTCAGGCTCTACAAGACACACACACACACACACACACACACACACACACACACACACACACACTGTCACTCTCTCTCTCTTCTTGTGTCTGTGTGACACACTTGATTTTGAAGACCTGTCCTGTGTGTGTGTGTGTGTGCGCGTGTGTGTGTGTGCGCGTGTGTGTGTGTGTGTGTGTGTGTGTGT